TGCAGCAGGCGAAACCACAGTGGAGTCAGTATCATGATACAGTCGCCTCTTGAATTTTTATTCTGAACTGCCAATAAACAAACTTAATAATCCAGATTAGAGCAACACAGTTTAAATGATAGTTTCAATATACCCAAATATATACAACATTTAAAAGGTACAGGTTAGGAAGGATCACATTCAGTAATAGTAATAGAGGAAGAATTGTGTTGACAGGTGCTCATTATTTCTAAGTGGCAGTAACAAAGTACTATTACTATCACTGAATTCAAGAACAGAACTCCTGAAAAAAGAAAGGAAAGGAAAAAGTTAGTCATTAATCCTTTATCTCCTGGTACGCCAAGATTTCTAGAGCAAGTACATAAAGTGCTGTCACTTCTCTATGTGGATAAGCTGTGAAGCAAAATTGTTAAATATTATTTTTCCAGTGCTTTGGAATCAGTATCGTCTCCGAAAGTGAAGAACCTGTAAAAACCGCCTGTCCCTGAGGTGGCAGATATATAACTAAAGTGGAAAGATGCAGTGCAATTTCCTTCCAACACAGACTGATATCCTAAAACAGTAAGTTAATGAAATGGAACAGAGAATGCTTTAGAGGGATAGGTGTCTCAGCAGACATACATGAGGGCGTGTATACATGCAGACACAGATGTGATGCATCAAAGACAGAAAAAGCCGTAAAGCAGGAACTGCAAGCACATGAGGAATAAGGGGAGATAGGATAGGGGCAAGGAGATAGGATAAGGGCAAGGGAAGAGTGAAGGAACAGGTTGAGCTGAGACTATCTGATAAAATAATAAAGTGGCATAATTCGTTTTAATGGTGAAGCTTTATCGCTAGCCTGGTTTACAAGATGAACAACAGACGCAGATGATCAGCTGTGGAAAAATAAGGGTTAATGTCTCTGTGGTGCCTGTAAATGATAATATATATTAATCTGAAAGCTAAATCAATGAAAAAGTCCCATCTCCTGAAAAAAAAATCCTGGAAAAAGCTACTGTTATTGAAAATTAGTGTTTTATATCTATTCATGCAAAGTAAATGCATCAGATGCTCAAAAAAGTACTGCCTGTAAAGAAAAGACTGAACCATTAATTATATAACGATGTAAAAATGGTCACAAATGTTCCAATTAACAGCCATCTTCCAAATAAGCACAACCAAAAATGTGTTTAAGTAACTTTACACAGAACTGCTCTCAAATACATATGTAATTTGTAATAAGGTATAAAAGAGTTTAAAATCCATCAACTGGAATATTTTTAAGTTAAAAACCCTTGATGTACACCTGTTGAGAAATTAAGCATATATACAGACCCTTTCCCATTTAGAGTTGGAAAAATGTGTTCAACCAAGAAGTGAAAAAGCAATACAGGTGCTTAAGGACCCAGTGAAATTAACCTGCCCATTGATGTTTCATAGTATGAAAGATAACATATTCCCACCAAATTAAGCATAGAAAAAGAAACAGAAGATTAAAAAAAAATACCCTGCAAAAGGCAGTGCTCTAGAACAAAACAAAATGATCCTTCCCAACCATATTATACCAGAACGTGGTATACGTGAGGATCCAATATGAATCAGTGTTTTCATACACAAGACCCTGCGCTCATGTGGATAATAAGTTAAAAATGTAGGCATTATAATAATAAAAATTAATTAGGTTACAAAAACCTTACACAAAATCCTTAGGATTCAATACTAATTTGAAATAATGCTTCTAGTAAATACTTTTAATTAGTGTTTAAAGAATGATGTTAAGTAATGACATTTCATAATTAAAGTCAGTTGGAATGCAACACCAAAACAAGAGCCTTGAATGCCCCTACACTCTATTTAAAATCTAGCTGGACCTTCTGCAATCTGTCTAGTATCTCTCCGCCCATTTATTTTTCTTCCAATACTGCTGCTAGAAAAATTAAGAAGTACTAGAAATAATTTAAAAAACCCAAAACAAACCTGATGCCAAGGTGACTAAAACACACACACAAAAATCCTGTCTAACAGCGAGCATCTGAAGCCAGAATTGTATCTTTTGAGCAGAAACAGTCAGAGGACGTACACCAGGCTAAATGGGTTGGACAGTGCAAACATACAGAACCGTGGTGGAAAGCAAATGTAGAACGTGTCCAGAGAAGCACGACAAAAGGCAAGATTCACAGCTACTTTATCCAATTCTAGGAAGTGCACACAGCAACTTCTTGGAAACTGCAGAGCTCTGAATGCTGACGAAATGGAAGATACTATACTGTGTGTGTGTATATATATATATATATATATATATATATATATATATATATTAAAAAATATCAGCACCAAATAAAATGCTCTTATTCTCTGAAGTAGTTATAATTAGTTGCTATTGTGCACCCAAGGCAATCAATGTAGCAACACACAAGCAATCTGAGATCACCTACAGTCTTGTAAAAGTTCTTCAGGCTAAACCTTTGTAACAGAATCCTACTGAGAAAGGAATTAAGATGCTCAGTATATCTAGTAGTTTAACAACTAAAAGCTCCTATATGTAGAGGCATGAGTTTTCCAAATGGGGTCTAGATCTACCAATTTAAAGATCTGTTTCTGCCCTAGATTTTGCAAGTTTAGCTGCAGTTTCTCATTACCATCATACTTTTTGTCCAGTTATATTAGAGATAATTTGGTCATTCTTGGCTCACATCAACTTGCTAAGATTAACTTCTGCCACTAGAGGTTAGAAAATGTGTGTTGTAATTCCTATAAAGATTTTATAGTTCTGCACTCCTGCCTAGCTACACACTCTCACTGAACTCTTCAACCTTTTCTAAATATTTCCTTTTTTTTTGGCTGTACAAAACACCATACCAATCACTGATATTGTGGTGAGACTAAAATTTAGCATGACTAACTTGAACTGTGTGTGGAATAAAAAATAATAACCCCACCTCCCAAGCTCTGAGAGCAATACAATAAGAATGAACCTTCCCAAAACCCAAACCTCAGCCTGACATGAGAAAGTAAAGACAGGGTACTTTGTAGCCCACTCAACCTTTAAGGACAGAGGCTTCTTAAAAATAAATTAGAACATTTTTCTAAAATTGTACACAGTTTGGCCAGAGCAGTCTATTACTCAAGATGCAGTATGATATAAAAAGGGAACTTCCAAATGTCACAAGATCAAAACAAGGTAACTCAAAAAGAAAAAAAATGGCTCCACATAATCACCTACAATATATTTACCTCTTAAAATATGATTGCTGAATTTAAGCTAATTGTGAACAAATAATACACAGATCAAAATATATGTATTGACTTACTGGCATCTTTATAAAAATTTGAAGGTATACACAAAACACATCAACATTTATGGAACTGTATCCATTAAACTTAGATAAGACAACACAAAAAAAAACCTAACAAGTAGCTAAGATGTGGTTGAACTATAAGCACTTTGAATAACATCTTTTAATTTTAAAAGTTCCATATTTACATACTACATTAAATGCAATTTTTGCATTCTGTGTCTTATTTTAAATGCATGATAAAGAAAGAACAAGATAATGGTTGCAACAGATCTTCGAAGAAAGTTGAGTTAGGATGACCAGATTTAACTAAGTGCTGTAAGAGATCATGGAAATTGCATGGCCTTCTGGTTTTACCTCTTCTTCCTTTGCTTTCTTTGGGAGGAGCCACAACAAATGGAACTAAAAGTGAAGCTATCTTTCAAATGGGTCACAACCAACAAATCCAACTGTAACTTAGGAGACTATTACTGAAGATATGTTTTACTGAAACACTTTGGATGAATGGCTAACCTAATAGCTGTTTTTTTTACTACTGTACTGTTTAGATCATGTTAAAAAGATATGGGAATATACAGGATGTATGTATGTGTATAATTATATGCATATAGACATACACACATATAGCACACTTATCAGTATATGATACCCAGCTATTGCAGTAAACAGCTAAAATCACTATCAAATATGTCTGCACTCTATCTATGCACAAGCAATAATCTATTATGTTTTAAGGGGGATATATACATGTATTAAACAATGCTTACACAGCCTCAAATCTACTTAAGTTAGAAGACACTGTTCATGTTATTTTCAAGCCACGCTATAAGAGTGGACAAGTTTTGTTTTGTTTTGTTCTTCTTAAAAAAACAGAAAAAAAAAGCCTTCAATACAAAATTTTAAAACCTGCTCAGCTGGCTGAAAGGGACTGATTCAAAACCCACTGATGTCAATGGAGACCTTCCACTGACTTCTCTGAACATTGGATCAGGCCCCTTATTTCTTAGGCTCTAAAAAAGCCCTTGATCGGCCATCTGCTTGTAAACAGGACAGCTGATCAGCTGCAGACATGCTCACTGCTGAACTCAGCTACACGACTTCTTTCTAGTTGCATCCAGTCCGTATGTCCACAGGAAGATACCCCTATCGTTCCATTTTTTGCATGTTTTTTCTGATCACTTCATTTCAGAGAAGTTGTTCTTTAACAGTGGAATCAATGACCTGTACAGATGTAGGCATTCCTTTTAAAAATAACAACCAAAAATGTACGGGGGGG